TTTCCCTTTCAGGACTCTTGCGGTGATAACCCTGAGAAAATGGCAAAGAATCATACCAATATAGAGCTGCTCAATTTGTGAAAACAGAGAACGGTACAAATACTAAATGTTACAAGCGTAGCAACCTTCTCATCTTCAGACCCATCCACAACCTCTTCATTCTCCTCCTTTTCTTCCTCTTCCTCGAAATCATCTTCCAAGACACTTTTCCTAAGGTCTAAGGAACCGATCTGTTCGAGTGTCCATCTATAGTCATGGTGACAGAATGGGAAGCTTAGAAACCCACAGCAACCAAAAAGCAAAAAATCACGAAATGTTACTTTACACATGCTCATAATAAAAGAACAAACCTTTTCTTGATGCGGGGCAAAGCAATATCACAAGAATAATCCTTCGTTAAGAGTTCATCTATAACTTCATCCACATGTGTCAACATAAACCCTGTTCCAAATTCCAATATAAAGGTATATAAAATGGTTAGTGCACTAATCAATTGACTGTAACACAAGGGATCACATGAAGACGTTGAACACAAAAGAACTTACGCCCGTCGTTTGACTTTTGTCTCAGTTTCCGATAGTCGTTGTAGAGGGGCTCAAGATAGCGATAGACGTCAATGTCAGTACCAGTGAGACGAAGATAAAAGGCACCAAGAATTCGGACATATCTGCAGGAGCGTCGTTAAAAGTAATTACTAAAGCTAAACCAAATTTCTATGTAAGCCAAATTTTACAACATGAAAGCACGCTAAAATTGAGAAAGCAATACTCCGGAGATCATTAGAGCAAAATCTCAACGAACCCAAGAGCTATAATCTGTCTAAATACATGAAAAAACGCGTAGAATTGAAGTGATCTGACCAGAAATGTTGATTCAGTCGAATCTAGGACCAAGTTAATCGCAGTTGTCAACCTAAACTATACGAAATCAAATGAAAAGCTTCGGTAAGAATTGTACTTGTAATCATCGTTTTTTATGAACTCGACGACGATTTCCTTCTCAGGCTGGATCTGGAGCATCTTCAAGACGAGACAGAGAAACGGAGTGGGCTTCCGGTTTCCGCCATAGGTTCCACCGAGGTGGTCAAGCTCCATGGCCTTGTCGACGAGCGTCTCCGCAGTGAGACCGAAGCATTGCCCCTTCCAATAGGTGTGCTGATAAATCTTCGATCGCACAATCTTCTCCACCAGATTCTGCGGGTTCGTCCCTCTTATGCTCTTGGCCAACGGATCCGTCCTGTTTGCCATCTTCGAAGAACAGGTTCCTCTAAGCAGATTCAGTAGAAGAGATTCTCAACCAGAAACCCTAAACCCTAACTGCAATCCTCCGCCTGCTCCGCCCTCTTCGCGTGGGGAAGAGCAAAAACGGGTGATTTAATTTAAATATCCCTGTTTTCGGTGATAAAAACAAATATGTATATATATGTATATTTGTGGATGTATGTGTATACGCATGTATATATGTTAGTGTATGTATTGTATATATATGTAGGTATTTTAAATTTTTAAATTTTTTATAAACGATAGCTCACCAGATTTTCCCGATCTGTAGAAAATAAAACAATGTCAAATATCGAATAATTATCATTTTCCATTGTCTAAATTTTTTTTATAATTTTGACCGAAAAGTTGGAAAAGTTTATTGCATTTTTGTTAAAATTTATACATTGAGAGCGAATTGATAATAAATTATATACTTAGAATTTTTCAAAGAAAAATATAAATGTGAATTTCAAAATAACAATTGGATTTAGAACACAGTTTAAGACGAAATACCAAACCTACAAAAAACATGACTTAAAAATTTAATAAAGACATGAAAGTGAAACAAGACAAATTATTACCACAAAATGGTTTTATCCTAACAAACAAATCATTAGAATCTCCTTTTTTTTCTTCGGTTGTTCCCTAAAACCCTGATCCCTAAAAATCTACACGTAAATGATATAATGAAAACTCTTAATGTATTATCTGTTCGATCAAATCTTCATCTCTGCAACTGTTCTTGGCCTGCCGTTGATGGCCTTCCGGCAAGGATTCCGTTGTCAGTTGCGGCTGGCGGGGGGGGGGGCACTCCCCATTTCCCTTCGCTTTCTGAGGGCTCCAACACTTTCACCGAGCCATCCGTTAGACCGACCGCGAACTGGTTCTGATCGTGCGGGTGTGCAGCCACGACGAATGGGTGAATCGGTGGTTTCCTGCAAAGTAAAAACGGGTCGTAAACGTTATTAGCTATTTAAAACGTTGTTGTTTATATCAAAATCGACTAAAACTGCCACTTTAGGATCTTTAACCTTTTTTTTTTATAATTCGAGTATTCTGGACCGAAGCCCAGACTAATCTTGGGGCCGAAGGAGGAGGTGCCACTCCCCATTTCCCTTCGCTTTCTGAGGGCTCCAACACTTTCACCGAGCCATCCGTTAGACCGACCGCGAACTGGTTCTGATCGTGCGGGTGTGCAGCCACGACGAATGGGTGAATCGGTGGTTTCCTGCAAAGTAAAAACGGGTCGTAAACGTTATTAGCTATTTAAAACGTTGTTGTTTATATCAAAATCGACTAAAACTGCCACTTTAGGATCTTTAACCTTTTTTTTTTATAATTCGAGTATTCTGGACCGAAGCCCAGACTAATCTTGGGGCCGAAGGTGACCAGGTAAATTCTTCCTCCCCATGCTGGGGTTGAACCAGGGCGGGACAAGTGCTTTGCACCCCCGTTTCACCAGCTGAGCTATCCAGTTTGGGTCTTTAGGATCTTTAACTTGAGGAAAACTTATTAAATGTTAGGGGTGACCGAACTTCCCCGGTCTGGGAGGTGTAGTCGGGACAAAGACTCGGTGAATTTGCAGATTATAAAAAAATGCTAAGGGTGAGTGTTTCAGGTTTCGGTTTGGTATTTATTGAGTTCAATTTAGGAACGGTTTACTCAGTTTATAAATCTTTTGTACCAAATTACAACCATTTGCTATTCAGTTCGGAACGTTTTTGTGATATGAGTACCAAATAGAACCAAAGCTTGATTACGGTTCCGTTTCTATTATTGATTTCTTCTCTTAATCTCCTAATCATACACATTGTTTCTATTATGGATTAGTTCAGTTCTAATCCGGTCGGGTTGTGTCGGTTCGATTCGATTTGGTTTGGTTTCTTTCAATCATACATATTTCTATTAAACGCTCATTTCTTATTCTAACCATCGTCATCAAACTCCGCCAGCTAATCTAATTGACCAGCAGAACAATGAAACCTATCCCATTTTTACACAACAGATAGAGAGAAGGGGGAGGAAGCTTACGCGTTTAGAGCAGCCTGTGACAAATAAGTGTTCGGGGCGATGCGGCATCTGAGTCTGAGACTATCAGCATCGAACACGCCAACGTTACCATCGCAGAACGTCGCATAGATTAGTTGACTGTTGCAGGAATATGCAGCAGAAGATATTGTTGCAGACAATCCATCTTGAGGAACCCACTGGAAGGAAAAAGATCAAAAGAAGACAAAAACCCGATGTTTAATCAAAATATGGAGAGAGGCGATAAGGATTGTGATTAGTAAAAGGGGGGATTAAGCGAAAACTATGGTTAAGATCAAACCGCATTCCATTGTAAATTTTGCTCGGCATACCTGTCTGATCCTCTCCATGTTAGAGGCATCATATATGGCCAGCTGAGTCTCGTGAACTACAAGCATACGGATTTGGTCAGTGTGGAACTGAACCCGTGTTTCTCCTGTCGGAGCCTTCCCAGCCGGCATTTGGATGGTAATCGACTTCCGTCTTTCCCATGTATCAATGTTCCATACACACAGCTGCATATCAATATTCCATAACTGAATGAGTACAAAGAGGATGAATTAGAGTGACAATGAAAACGACTTCTTTAGTAAACCTAGAGTTTTGGGGTTTAGGGTTTAGGTTCAGAGTTTTGGATTAAATCTTATGAAACAACAGATATACACTATTTGGGGAGGGTTTGTGGCAGATGTTGCCGCAAAGTCCCCTCGTTGCCGGAACTGATTGCTGGCTCGGGCTGAGATTGGCCATTACTGCCAGAAAGAAGAATATTATCTTCAGCATGTCGAGATCTCAAACAGGAAAATACCACTTACTTGAGCATCGGCACCAGATGAAACTAAGATATGAAGCTGTGCAGAAAACGCTAGCCCAGTGATCCGTTTCTGGTGGCCCTTCAATTTCGACTTAACCTGATAACGACAAAAGCATAAGAATGTGCCTTTCAAATCATCTAACCACTGTGGTATTGATCATCAAACAACACATTAAAACTAAAAAAACAGACCTCATCAACTCGAACATTGTATATGTGGATTGAAGAATCCTCTGTTCCGATGGCAATGATATTGTTGTCCTGAGGATGGAATGCCAGGAACGTTGAAGCAGGTGGTGGTGACATGAATGTTGTCATTACCTTGAATAACATATCCAAAACCCGTAAGGATTAGTGCGTTTTCTGAAAGGAAAATACAAAATAACCAAATCCAGTCTTTCACTATATTTTTTTAATAGTTGTACAAAACGCAAGTTGGTTATATCCCTCGTCGAATTTGGAGAAAGAGGATCAAACAATTCCCAATCATAGCTTCAAAACATCCATACATCGTCCAAAGACAAACCTGCATATTTGATCTCTTTCCTTAAATGAGGTAACACTTTCAACAACTCTCTATCATATATCACATGACAAAAATCGCTTTTGCCCAATCCAACAAAATGTGGTAAAAATTAAGCGTGATATGATTTTTAGTTATCAGGGAACTCAAGTATTCCCTTCCTAATTTTTAAGTTTCAAATTAAATCTTGAATGTAATGTAAAAAAAAATCTTCAGTCTTACCTTGAAGGTCATCATGTTAAACAATGAAACCTTCCCGCCCGTTGCTGACATTACATAGGAGTCGTTCTTGGAAAGAGCTATGCATGGAACTGCTTCTTCAAGGTTGACTCCTGAGACATCATTCGTCATAAGAAGGCCACTGTTTGGCTGCCAAAGTTGTGGAACTACACTGGCAGTGGCCTTTAAAAGAAAAGTAAATTCTTTTAGAAGATCCTCAATAATTCGGTCAAAGAAAGAGCGAAAAAAAGGTCTCGTTTAAACAAGACAGCACCTTTCCAGTTGGGTTTTGCTCATTGCGAGCCCATTTCCAGAGCTTTTGAATACCATTTGAACCAAGAGCCAAAATGCCAACACCGGAGTTTGTGTACAGGAGCCGCACAACCTGGATAGAGACATAAGAATCTTAAGGATACTGGTTCGGAAAATCATAGGCAGGGACGCAAAACAACATTTGATTGATGAACCTTGCTTGTTGTGTCTGTTGTGTCTGGCAAAGCAACTAAACGACATTGAGCAGGATCCAAAATCTCAGCTAATTCCCATGGTTTGGTCTTTTCAGAGGCATCTTCACCACCTCTTGGCTTTTCCGTGGTTCGTCCCATTGGATCTACTCCATTCTGCAGGTGAAAAATGTCAGTAATGGCATGGAACACTGGAAAAATAACAAGCACGGATGGGACAAAAGCCTCCACACCAAATTAAACTGCTTCAAGATTAAAAAACCAAAGGGTGGCTTATGATTTATATGCATAACGTACGATTATCATAGAGGATCTTACAGGAGAGCTCCTTTCCACTTTACAGTTGACTGGAGTGACAGTTGCAACAGCAGAGCCAGAAACCTAAATTAATCAAAAGAATGTACATAGATCACACAATGTTGACATTAAGCCTGCTATGAAAAGAAATCCAAAAATCATCGTAAAGCATTTTAATTACAGAAGAAACAAACAGTGTTTTGGTTGCTTAAAAAGATAGGGTTTCAATGGCCCTTACAGATCTGAAACCAGCAGCATTTGCAAGTATCTTGATACCATTATCTGCTGTAGTAACAGCAAGGAGATTGCCTTCCTTGTTGAATTTCAGCCGCGGAAGAGCCTATTGTGAGAAAGATAATTGAGCTTAGGACAACAACAAAATCCCGTCGATGTCATCTAATGCATTAGACAACACAAACACCAACGTCTTACAGAACTTATCATACATTCAGCATCTAACATTCAAAAGCACCAAGAAAGTGCTTTTGATATTATACATGGAACAATATTGTGATCAGATTAGAGTATAACGGGCATATCAAACATGAGTTCTATTAGATGTCAGACACCTCCAATACAACAGGTAAGAAAATGCATATGGGAGAAAAGGTAATTTTGGAAACGAGACACAAGCCACTGAATATGACTAACCGAAAGCCCACTATCGGCATCTGTGCTGCTGAGAAGTTTGGTATTGTCCATATCCCAGAATTTTATTTGTCCATCTTCACCAGCTGCTAAAAAGTGGTTCTGCGTCGTGTCAAACTGAACAATCCCATTCGACTTTTTCCTCATAAATCCTACGTAAGACCTCTTTATGGCGCCTTCACTTTCGTTCCATTCTACCAGAAAAGAGTCCCCATCTTTGCTGTTTCCACATGAAAATAACCTAAGAAAAACAAACCAAAACAAAAGATAACTCCAGAAAGTCAAAGCCAAACATAAATGGAAGAAGAGGTAATAAATGCAAACTTTGGCCAGTATTAGTAATGAAATTGCCATCTCCCTTATATCGTATAGAATATCTGCGGATCTAGAAAGTTCTTACCTAGTTCCATCAGCACTGTAAAGCATTGTCGTGCACCAATGACCAGGGGCATCATAATCAACCCGAGAACCCATATTGTCATAAAGCCAAGCCTTTATCTTCCCATCAATAGAAGTCGAAAAAATGAACTGTCCATATGCGAGATTCCAATCATCACATATATCCATTTCTCTTGAACCTTGTGGACTAACACTCTTATAAAAAGAAGCATTAAAGATGGATTTTGATCAATTATTCATCAAACCTGGATATTCTCCTTATGATGAGGGCAAATGGAATAAACAGGTGCATCATGACCTTCAAATGTAAATAGCTTTTGGCCCCGAAGATCCCAAACCTGTTTCACATTTCATGAGATAAGCAAGAGCACTGGAAAAATTCGTAAAAATGGAAGCTTATACATAAATGAACAGTGTAAATGGGATTGGGGAAAGAGGCAAGGGATTCCCGATACCTAACCTTTATTAATTTATCATCTCCGCATGTGACAACACAAAGTTGTTTATTAGGGTGGGCAAAAGCCAAGTCATTAACTGCACCAACATGTGCGTCGATCTGAATTTACAAGAGAGAAATGAGAGTTAGTGCAGCTAAAGTTTACTAAGTATGTTGTTTAGCAAACAGTAGATAACCAACCTCAAGTTGCTGGCGTAAATCATTGGGGCCCGAAAAAGCATACAAATGAATCAAGTGTTTTGTAAAGGCAACCCCTGAAGAAACAATCACAAAGATCAATTTTCCAGAAAGGAATAAAAAACATATGACACCCTTCAGATTTTAGATGCAAACTATAAGGGTACTCACCAACAAAATTTCCATCTGGACTCCAAGAAACCCGAGTGACCGATGCAGGTGTTTCTTTGACCATTGAAGCCTGTACACAACGAATTTCAACGTGAAGATTGAAATATTGCTGACAGTCAAATTCGGAGTATTAAGATTAACTCAATGGAACATAAAAACTGGATGCAAATAGATCCAACGGACCTGAAATGGCAAGGAACAAGCAGAAATGTCCCAGATCTTAAATGGCTTTGAGGTAAGCCTCTCCCGAAGTGAAAGTTCCCAAAGAGTGATTTCACCGCTATCAGAGCCAACTACCCATATGAAGTCAAGTCAAGACAAAAAAAAGGTATGTCAGTTACTGTGGTGAAAGACTATATACCTCTGCTACTTATAAGACGTAAGAAGGAATAACTTTGGTACCAAGAAGCAATGTGTGGAGTGCAGGATGGAAATCCATGCTCGAAACAGCAGTTCCTTGATGCAACGCGAAAACCACTTTTGTTGGCAAGTCTTCAGCAGACCATGAAGCTTGTTGTCTAGGAGTTGGATAGGTCACCTATAAGCCAAAGCAGTCAGCAGCTAAATGAAACGCCAATGCAAAAATTACAGAAGTCTGATGTGTGAGAAACAAAGACAAATAATAACCTCTTCAACAGATTGAGCAGGTCGAAGCCGCTTCATGAGTTCGTGTTCTGGATTCTGATAATCAACTACACCAGAATTTGTTGGAGGAGTTCTTGGACGTTTCAGTACAGAAACTGCACAACACAAAATGAGTAACTTAAACCAGCACAAAAGAGGGCTAAGAAAAGACGAAAGACAATCATAGATCTGAACCGGAAATTTAGAAGTACTTATCTGACAAATGTCAGCTAACAAACAATTTGAGCTAAATCTGAAGTGGAGAATGAAAAAGAGGCAGAAGACGGTTCACCTTGATTTTGGGGAACAGGCATTGATGATGCAGTAACAACAGCTGCTTGAACAGAAGAAGAAGCAGAGGCATTTACCATCCAGCCAGCTAATGCACCAGGATTAGCTGCTGCTGCAGCGGACAGAAAGGGCTACAGAAAAATGGGAACAATGTACAGGTTTTAAAATATGTATACATACATAAATATATGAAGTATATAACATGAAACTTACACCATGAGCTCCCACTGATGGATATGGAGAGGGTTTTGCAACTGCAGTGACAGGAAGATTCCCAGCAGAAGGTGGAAGAGGACCATTTGGTGGTGTACAAGTGTGGTCGGTGAATAATGTCTTGATATCAGGATTTGGCCTTGGGTTCTTGCAGAGTTGATGTTGCCAATTCAGGCTGCATTGAAGCGGTAACAATTTATTGTCTGGCACACTTTTTTTCCAGATAAAAGATATTTATAAGGTTCTATCAATTTTTCTAAAAAAATGTTCAATTGTTACCCAATTATCTCCACCACCTACACCTAATAACGAATTTGAAAAACGTTTTACACCAAAGGCTTGAGAAAGAGAAAACAAGTACACCAAAATGCATTCAAAGATGTTTGAATTATTTCCATTTGCTTCTAGATTTACCAGCTCCAACAATATGTGTGTGTATATATATATACATAAACAGAAAAGATAAACACCACCACAGGTAAGACTGATGCTAAAAAAAGAACAGGAAGCATTGTACACTTCCAACCAGTAACAGGTCCACATGATAAAGATGTACAAACATAGATACCTTTGATTGATCAGGGTTCTAAGTCTTGATGCTCTCAGAGTAGGGAATACGAGTTTGTCACGGAAAAGAGGGTTTGCTTCAATGAGCTTTTTCAGCTCCGACAGCATTATGCCGCGGGCAGTTTTTGTGTCGCCATACTTAGAAAGCTGTTCATTCTCCCTGTTTTCAGGCGAATCCAAGAGAAGGATTACAAAAATCACATATCCATCTTTTCTGGGGTCCAAAATACACTTGTATCTCACAAACAAGATAAGGTTGTTAATTTGTTACCTGAAGTTATTAAGAGTCAGAAGCTGGGTGATTTCTTTGAACAGATCTTCATTGAATGTCGAGAATACTTTCAAATCCTGCACCAATATTTCAACAGCCTTGGCCTTGTCTTGCCTGTATCAAATATTGCAATCTGATACTAAGTACAATCTTCTAAAACCAAGAAAAAAAAAGTGAGTGCAAAAAGTAAATTTAACCATACTTGTCAAGAGCTTCAAGATATTTTTGCTTCCGGATTTCAAAGAATATTTTCATGGAATATCTGTTGTCATCGACTTTTGTGAACCCGGACAAGTATTTCTCGACCTCATCCCATTCTCCGGCATGAACTTTCTCCTCAAAATACTTCATGTTGAAGAAAAATCCCGACTCCTTCTCGAGCCTGAACAAGAAAATATCCGCAAACAACAATCAAACAAACAACCAATGAATCACGTTTCAAGATCCTAGACTAAGAGAAACGACAGAAGCGAGCCCATCAAGCCTTATCTTATCATTGTCAAAACAAACGATCCTATCTTTTCTCCAGAGCGGCGAATACACTTCCAATACCATGTTTTCCAGAGTCGAAAATTTCAGCTTCCTTTCACTAATTTTCTTGTGAAACGCTAATTCGAATCGGTAAACCTCTAATGATAAGAAACCTGAAGAGTTAATTCACCAACTAAAATCAATCATCTTTGTTAAACCTACACGCTTTCATGATTCCTCATCCACTTCCACCCGGGGTTTTTTCCTTACCCTCCCAGTTTCAGACATGGGCATTCTAACTTCCATTTCCAGAGTTTTACATCAACCCAAATACATCACAGAAACCATGAGACAGAAAACGAAACATCGGATTCACCTGTGTACAGATTCCTTGAATTTCTCTTCCTCAAGAAATTGAAGTATAAGAAACACCAATTCTCTGCTCAACGACGACATTTCCGAGACCGGACCAACGAAACGCCCGACAGCAAGAGAAAACAGTTTGTGAGGATTCGGCTGAAATTAAGCTCAGATCGATCAACAAAAGGAGCCTTGGGAAAGCAGATTCATGAACTCGTAAGCCTAGGGGTTAATCCCAAGCTCCGATTCCGAGGTCTTCTAGGGTTTCCAGAGAGAGAGGAGAGAGAAAACAGAACTTGGTCTTGCTCTCCTCGATGCGTTGCGCAGGAGGTGTCTTCCCTTTTCTACTGGCCTATCTATGATTATCCGACATACTTATCTTATAAGTACATGTACTTATCAATATGCTTATCAGCTTATCATCGGGTAGAGATGATAAGCAGAGCCGGTCTGTGCAGCGGATTTGAAATCACTAGTTCAAACCTAGTGCATATTCGCTACACACGTCCATTTTGGTCCCCTCTTTTTGTTTCGGGTACAGTCTTTATCTCCCGTACTCGCGATATATTTACTAATATATCGTTATTCCGATATCTCGTATAAGTTGTGTTTGTTGAATTTGTCATCTGTACATCTCTCATCAAATAAATTCTCGTCCTCTGTTTCCGTTGATTTTAGCCGCCCTGTTTTTATGCGATAAAATGCCAAAAGGGACAAAATTTCTCTAATCTACGAGCAAATTTTTTTTTGTTAATTACGAGCAAAAAAAATTCGATTATAATAAATAAATAAAATATTCAAAGTCGCCATATCAATGAGTTTATACCACGGGAACAAATTGTTTTCACTACTTATAGAACACACTAAATTATATTTGTAGATTATGAAAAAAATATTTTTAGTTCTTTTCATGTTATATAAGAGTTCTTTGCATAACAAGTTAACTATATATACATACAATATACTAAAACAGATCGATGTGTTTTAAGGTAATATAGTTGTTTCTATTTATAAAGAAAATATATTGCTTTACATGCTAAAATATTTGTGATATATTTCTCTAAATACACCAATTAGTTATGTATTCCGCCAAATAATTTCCCTTTTTATACATATTCTTACAGTATAGATAGTATTAGAAAACCAAATTAGGGAGATATCCAATTTTTTTCCTTGAAATTAATATATATAAACAGTATCTATATAAAAAAAATGTACATTTGGACGCTAAAAAGCGTGAGAGATAGCCTCAATTTCTCGTGAAAAAAATAAATTGACACAGATTTTGATGACAACCATTTAATATAATGCAACTATGAGAAAAGATATGATATAAAGAGAAGATAATGCAAATACGATAATATGAAACATTGTAAGTGTGTGGGGTCAGTTAAAAAAACTCGAGCTTTTTTTTTAAGTACGAGATATTAAAGGGTCGCCGAGTCGTAAGGGAGAAGCGATTGGAACACGCGCCACGCGCCTCAAAGGGTACGCGCATGTGGCTTCTTGCCCTTTTTCTTCACACGTATCGAGAGCGACTGGTGCGCACGTTTTGCGTCACGATGAAAGCGAAATCACGTCTTGGCTTTTCCTCCCCCTATCACTATCCACGCTCCTTTTAGCGCTTGTAGCTACGCGCTCAATAAACAATGGTTTAAGTTTACGTTTTTTAAGGAGATATAGCTATACATATATATATGTGTGTGTATGTATATATACACTATTTTTATATGTATATTTTGTAACATTCCAAGTTAGTTTATTTCCTTTTATTTTAACAAAGTTTATAGTGTTTTTTTTTTAATTTGAAATGTTTTATTTTATGAAATAGTTAAGTATTTATTTTTATGAAATACGACATCTGTGTATGGGGGTTGGATCCGCTGGTATTATAACTTGACCAACTGAATATTTTTCAGTTCACAAAATAAAACCATTAAAACTAATTACAATTTTGAAGAATTTATTGAATCTCTCTCTCTCGTCATTTTTTTTAATGATGTCATATGAGATCACCTCAAATATCTATTACACATAAAATTCCATCAAAACCAGTCAAAAGACATTAAATGGCATGACGAAATACACGTTGCTAAATGCTAACTTTCATGTGTCTTCATGCAAATAAAAAAAAAAATCAAAAGATTTTTTTAGGTAACCGGGTTTCCTGAGCCGAGATCCAGACTAATCCCGGAGCCGAGAGCCAATCATGTGATTTGAATTATGCGCTCCCTCTCCATCCTGGGATTCGAACTCGAGACGGGACAGATGCTTTGCATCCCCGTTTCACCGGTTGAACTACCCAGGTTGAATAAAAAAAAAATCAAAAGATATACACCAACAATAGAAACCACTCACAAAAATAAAATGGAAATCCACTTTTGGAGACAAAGAAATAAAATCAACATTTCGTATGTGTTATTATACCTTACAAAACGGTACTTTTTAATAATAAAGATAATAATAATAATAATAATAATAATAATAATAATAATAATAATAATAATAATAATAATAATAATAATCACCATCACCATCATCATCAAAAGTGATGAAGTCATTGAGCACAAAGACAGAGTCTGCGTTACTACTCCTACACGTAACGGTTGACAGCAACGCAAATTAAAAAATATATATATGGTACACATACATATATATATATAAACAAAGAATGTTACGTAAACTATTAAAGATATAGATTGTTATATAATTTAAAAATTACATCGTGTAATTAGCTAATCTTTCATCATCTTAAAATTTTTCAATTAAATTGAATTTAGATGATAAAGAATACCAGTAAAATATTGCATTTTTTTTTATTCCATTTGGATTACAAGATTAAATAAATTATAAAATATAGGAGCAACAAATTCCGAAATTGTATGTTTTGACGGGCCTTAACATTTATTCGGCCCATTTATTCGGCCGAGCCTAGCTCACACTCAAACGGCACCGTTTTAGGTTCGGTGTTGAGACGACAAATCGCGCGGGTCTTTTCAGCGGTAGAAGAAAGTGTTCGGAGTGACCAAAAGCACGCCTGCTACAGATAGGTAACTATGATCCAGCTCTCGCAATCGTTTCAATTTTTGCGGTAATCTTGGAAATTTTGGCTCTCTCTTGTGTTTTATTCTCCATTTTTGGGGTTTTAGTGTTGATTTTTGGCTGGATATTTGGTTAAATTGCTCGTTTTCGGGCTTTGTGACGATGGGTTTTGCGGAGAGTGAATCCCCTACGTTAGAGATTTGCGTGATTCTTCGTGTTCGTGTCAATTTTATGATCATGATTATTTGCTTGTTTTATGGGTTGAATTCGAGGGAATTTATTTCGATTGATCTTGTAATGTATGGGAACATATACATTTTCACTAGGAAGAGAACAGATTTTTTTCGTTTTGTTCTTCAACTTCTTTGGCTTCATCTACTACGCTTCGCCTTCTCTTTGGATCCTTTGGTTTTATATTTCTTTTTTAGATCTTGTAATCGATATCTGAAATTAGGGTTGAGTGGCTGCTGGAGACGTGATGGCGTACCGAATTGAATCCGGTGCTCTGGTTACTTTGCAAGAGCTATGCCCTTCATCTCCGTTCTTCAAGGAAGGTGCTTCTCTCAGGATAACTGGCAAGTAAGACTCCAATTTCCCCAAAAATCTTCTTGGATTTGTTTCCCTTATGATGTTTTTTTCTGTGCCTGATTTTGAAAAGTCTTCCATTGTATGTCCCTTTTTTCTTGTGGTCTGTTTTACCATCGTAGTGACGTGGTTGAATGAAAGAAATTGAGAAAACAGCAAACTTGGTAATCTTTGCTTGAGCATATGAACCCTAGAATCATGTCAAGCAAGATATTTCGTGATTCAGTAAAACTTTAGATCCCGTCTGCTGGAACAGAATCAATAATGTGTGTGGTGCTGTTGCTCCAGTAATCGAAACAGATGTGAAGAAATTGGCAGATTCATACTTTTTGGAGAAGACAATCACAATTTCCATGTTCATGAGACTGATAAGAGATTTGATGTAGGTTGAATGATAGAATGCATGACAATATCCCTATCTGTTAGAAAACGATGCTGACAACACACAATTCACTTGCAGACATACGTTGCCGAAAATGACCCTGTATTTACTCCATGTTTCTATGGTATTCTAATTGCCGGGATCATCTATTTGTTAAAAGATTCAAATTGGATGAATTATCTGGTTTTGGATTACAAGATTGCCAATTCCAACATCTGGACGTCTTTGAAGATTTGGGGTTTTTCCTTTTCTTCTATACTCTCTTTAGCATATTGCATATTTTTGTGAATGCTTATTGCCTTATTGGTCATGTGGGCTCAGATAGCGAAATGGATTGCTACATTTGCCCAGAACTTTAGGCGTTCTGCCTGCTTTGACATTAATTTTATTGGCAATATCATGTTTCTCTATGCAGACTGAGAGAATATTCAGTCGAAACAGCTGTAGCTCTGGTCGCAGATGGAGAAACCGTTCTCAATGTCGACACCCAACACCTAAGAGACCTTAGTTTCCGGGTTGGCTCAATCTACCAATTCATTGGAGAGCTCCATATTGAGCCTGGAAACGAGGTTAGTCGTTCGTTCACATGGAACAACATCCTGTGTACGTCTACGGAAATATATAGAACATTCTGGATCCTGAAAATATAATCGGGATAAAATGTGTTTCTCTTTGATTCTGTGTATCTCAATATGCTAGGTGATGAATAAAGGGTAATGTTATCACGAAAAGAAGCAACTTAAGGAAAAGGCTCATAACCTCTGATCTTGAAAAGGTGTGTAGGTTCGTAAATGTGCACATACCGAAACTCCGAACTGGTTTAATACCCTTTATTTCTGTAAAGTTGTTATGATATTTCTCAGTATTAAGTTCAGGAACACCATGGGGGGGTTTAAGAACTTGGTTCAAATCTGAGAAACCCTTACTACTGTGGCAAGTTTTTGCGCAAGGCTTATTATCAGGGCCTAAACGTTGAATGGCACAGAAACAAAGGCAATAAATCGTTCGTTTTGCATCATTTCAGGCGATTTTACGGGCTCGAACTGGGAGAAACGTGGACGGGATTGATCTAAACCTTTACCGTCAATCTATCAAGCTCTTGAGGCAGTTCCTCGACGAACAAGACAGAAGCAACATGCTCGGATGAGGAAAAACATCACTCACTGAAGATACATTTCTTCCACATATATTTACATAAACCCAGGTTAGAAACGTGCCGAATCTATCTTTTTTCTTCTGCTTCTTCGATTGCTTCAATTGAAGATAGACAAAAATTGTCGTTGATGAATCTTGAGTGTATTTGTATATAAAGATTTGGAAATTCGATGTCCTATCCTATGACTAGATTTTTGGAGTCTGAATTTTAAAAAAAATGATTAGGTATTTGCGAATATCAAATATTCAAAAATAATGTTTGGATATATTCATATCCGAATAGGAAATTTGTGAAAAAAAAATGATTTTATAATTTTGTTAATAAAATGTTTGGAGTGATTTTGAAATTTTAAAAGATGAAAGGTAATTTCGTAATTTTAAAAAATATGAATTGAGTATTTTTTTGTGATTATGTCGTGGATACGCGTGAGATATTTCGAATCTATGGTAGGAGAAACATGCCCACTCTATCCACATGTTTTTCATGATGCTATTCACGTGCGTCCCATGATTTGTTTTAGCATAGGACCCGAGGATACGGGGAGTCGTATTTGAGTTAGATGATATACCCCAATCGAACTTAATTGATATCTACTTCAACTCAATTTAATTTTTTTAAATTTAAATTAAAACCGACAAAAAAATTTATGACAACTTCTATTAAAATTAATCAATATTACGTTTGAATCGAATTAGACTAGGAAAAATAAACTCAGCTATCAATTATCTTGTTACAAAGTCATTGTTTTCAGGCGTGGGTATTTGGGTTTGTTTATTCGAGAATAAAAATCACAAAAAATAAATAAAAATAATATTTTATTTACAAAATATTTTTTAAGAAAATCTGAATAACTAAAAATCGAGTTTCAAGAATAACTGAACCAAAACATACTGGAAACATAACGAAACCAAAATGTGAGTTTCTAATTGGGAATTGATTTTTAAAATTATTTATTATTAAAAATAGCCACGCCACCGGAATTTAACGGAACGCATGATTTCCCTTACGATTGTTTTTATAACTGTAATAAAAAAAAAAAAAAAAAAAAAAAAAAAAAAAAAAAAAAAAAAAAAAAAAAAAAAGCGAATAAACGGAATCAAGCGAGAACAAAACTTGTCTCCACGGTGAAAGGACCTCTGACATTTGGTTTCGGTTTGGACCAAACCCTCTCTCACCATTTGACCCCCGATTTTGGCAATTTCCATGAGAAACACATTCACCGACCCTGTGATCATGTCTAATTACATTCAATAACCACCATTTGATTTAATTTCCGGGGGTATTAGTGAGACCGTAAATTAAAAATTAAAACTTTGGGGGTTTGGTGGGTTTGGTTTCTATGTTGATAATTAGGCGAAAATCTAAAGGATTTGACTCGATTTTTTTATACGATTTTGGTGTAGAGTTTCGTTTTAAATTTGATTGCTGATGTTAGTATCTAACCTCTTAGCTGTTTATGAAAAAATAATTATGTATCATCTATATAAATTATAATATAGTTTGAATTAACTCTGCCTTATCAGAACTATTTTTAAATTTTGTTTTATTTATTATAATTTTCGATTGATTTAATGAAATTTTTATATTCGATTCTAGTATTGTAAAAGGTATAATTAAGTATATGATGGGAAAAGGGTGATAAGTTTTTTTGTTGTTGTATTTTTTATATATTTCAGCAAATTTATTTTGGTTAATCCAATTTGGTTAACGCTGAAACAGGACCGTAAAATGTTTGTTTCATCTTGAATTTGAATTTTAAGTTAAGGAGAAAAGTATGATTTCAATCAATCAGTTTCTTTTCGGTTTTAGAATTAGTCTGTATTTCAGTTACCCAAAAAAAATATTTTGATTAAAATAAATTAATTATCAAAAAAATAAAGAATTTCAACTTACTTGATGAAGTCAGCCTTGCAAGACGAGCGGCGACGGCTGCCTACTACCGTGTCGAGGTTAGGTGTTACAATGGTAATGTCATTATTGTAATTAATGAAGGGTCAACCCCCTGGTTGAATTCAAATGTCAATATTCATATGAAAATAAAAATAAAAATATAACTCTGATATTTCTAAATTGTCGCGAATGGGTCAACCATAGTTAGAGTTTGTCACACATATTCGATTTTGGAGACTGGTGAAAAAAATGGTAATATAATTCAATATACATATAAATTTCGAAAATTTATGAAATTATTTTTAACGATTATTTAACTATATAGTATCAGTGAAGGTTTTAGAAAGTATATTTGTCAGTATTGATAATATAGATACTTGTATATGATATTTCAAAATTCATAACATCTAAACTTATTTGAAAGTGAAATAATAATTCTATTATACATTTTAAAAGTATTATTTTTGTAGCAATTATATTAATACCCTCTTATATTTATTAGAGAAAATATAAATTATAAATACCCTTTTATATATTTTTAAAAATATTTTAATATGTTGACGCAGTTACATTAGATTCTCTTTTTCATATTATCAATAAATAATTATATTTTACTAATAATCCTTTATATTAAATATATTTTTTATATCGTATTAAACAAACAAATATGACAAGCCCACGGAATTTCATTGTACTATAAGATCAAACCATAGTCCACCTAACACGATCAGGAAATAATCATTAGGCAAAACTTCAGTGTTGTATATATTTGAATATCAGTACTTAATTATGGGTGGTCAAATCTTATTGTGTTTGACATTTATTGGAATATTTATATATATATATATATATATTAACATTATTTTAACATGTCACTTGTGATATAATGGTCCAACATTATACCATGTGCTCAAAGGCAATTATCCAAAAGCTTTACTTTTCTTTGTTTTATATATAAATAAAGAACTTTGACCTATCTTCGTTCCACTCCTATTCTTTTACAATACTTTACGAGAATACTTCTTTAGATTCGAATTCAATCGAAATCGTGTATCCGTATAACAGGATATATAGTATATTTTATTTTATCTATAATACATTTTACGTCTTATTCGTGGTATGTTTTGAAATAATTTCCGTTTTAATAGTTTCCATTTTAATTGAATCAAATAATATAAGAATGGCATGAGATGTATTTTTAAGAATGATCTTTGTAAACATATATTAAATAAATATATTAAAATTTAATTTAGTTATTTTAATTTATTTAATTTAATTCATTTTCTTGTCAAATTATAGGTTGGTCATATTGATTTATATCAGACATCGAGTTTCAAAAAAAAATTATGATTCTTGTGCCATTAGAATATGATTTACTTTTAGCGACCGATTTTATTGATGTAAAAGATGCTATCATAATTTCTATCTTTTTTAAAAAAATTAGTGTATGTCTCTGCAAAACATTTCACTTAAAACACGTGTAATTGCAAATTTATTTATTTTTTTCACACGAAAGATTCGCTTACCCATCAACTTCTCACTATAGAATTAACTTTATCCGCCTAAACCAAACTTTTAATTTTAATTTAACTATTTTATGACAATGAATAGAGGTTTAGAATATTGACCGTTGGTCCAAGATATACAGTTCATATAACACGTCCAGTCTGAGCACCTATATATACATATCGACTCACAATTCAACACAGAGCCAAAGCAAATCTCCTTCTTCCTCCCTATTTCTTCAAGAAAACAATCCACATTCACATACACACATACACACACATATATATATATATATATATATAGTTTAATAGTTGATTCATAATATTCAAGAGTTATAGCAAAAAAAAAAAGATCAAAAGAGAAAGAAGAACAATGATGATGTTACCAGAAGCTTGTGTTGCGAAGATTCTGTCGTTAACATCTCCGGCGGATACAGTATCGGCGGGGGGGGGGTTTTTCCTCCTTCTTCCTCCCTATTTCTTCAAGAAAACAATCCACATTCACATACACACATACACACACATATATATATATATATATATATAGTTTAATAGTTGATTCATAATATTCAAGAGTTATAGCAAAAAAAAAAAGATCAAAAGAGAAAGAAGAACAATGATGATGTTACCAGAAGCTTGTGTTGCGAAGATTCTGTCGTTAACATCTCCGGCGGATACAGTATCGGCGGCGGCGGTTTCATCGGTTTTCCGGTGTGCCGGAGACTCGGATTTCGTCTGGGATCATTTTCTGCCGTTGGATTACATTGGCGTGATTTCTCAGTCCGTTGATCATCTGAGTTTCTCCTCCAAAAAAGAGCTTTACCGACGTCTCTCCGAATCCGTTCTCATCGAAAATGGCCGAAAGGTTCGTTTTTTTTTTCAATTTAAAACTTACATTTTCACCTGCATGCAAAAAAGTTTCGATCTTTTCATCTAACTTCTTCTCGGTTTGGTTCAATTTTCAGATGTTCAAGATCGATAAATTTTCCGGGAAAATATCCTACGTTTTATCCCCGAGAGATCTTTCCATAGCTTGGAGTGATCAACCTATGACTTGGTCATGGAGTCATAGACAAGATTCGAGGTCAAATCCGTTAACCCTTTTGTGTCATTTGAAGCTGAAATGATTTTTATACCATTAGCACGATCCAAATGATATATCAATGATATTAACATAATCTACATCTATCCAAATACAGAGTCGAAGAGACAATCGAACTTATAACTACAGAGAGATTAGAGATTCACGGAAAAATTCGAACTGGAATCTTATCGCAGAACACAAGATATGGAGCATATCTTATAATGAAAGTGACGGCTCGCGCCTTTGGACTAGACCTAGTTCCAGCCGAGATTTCTGTTAGATCGGGGAACGATGGTAAGGCGGATAAAAACTCGACATACTTATGTTGCTTGGACGACAAGAAACAGCAGATGAAGCGACTGTTTTTCGGGAACCGAGAAGAGAGGATGGCGAACATGGTTGCAGCGGTTGGAGAAGGAAAGCGGAGGGAACCGAAGGAGAGGAGCGACGGATGGATGGAAAACGAGTTGGGAGAGTTCGAGACGGGGAAAGGAGATGATGAGGAAGTGGTTATGAGTCTTATGGAAGTGAAAGGCTTTCAATTGAAAGGTGGGATTGTGGTTGGAGGCATTGAAGTGAGGCCTAAACCCTAAAACTAGTGTTTAGAAATAGTTGAATTATAGTATGGGTTAAATTGTTAATTTCTTAAGTTTGGGAGGAAAACGAAATTCAAGAGAAAAATGGGTAGTTTTTATATAATTGAATTATTTATTTTCTATTGATGTACATGTAAAAGTCAAAGTCGTTGAGGTTCTTGTGATACTTTTAGACGCGCGTTATCCACTTTCGTGTAGTGAACGAAATAAAACATTTCACTTTAGCTATTTTGATTCTTGCATAAGATAAATTAATCGTATTCTTAAAAATAGAATGATGGAATCGAAATTAACTAAGATAACATGCAAATCGGTAAAATATAGATAGATATAGATATAAGATTGATATTAGACCATTTATATACTAAATCTTATTATTATGTTTCCATGCCAAAGTCACACAAATTAATTTTTATTAGTTTTTTTATAAATTAATTGAAACAATTAAATATTGTTATTAATTGTATGTTTTACAATACTTTTGATTTTTTTTTATAATCCGGAATACTTTTAATTTTTGATTAGTTTAATTCTAAAAAAATTATATCTAATTGAAATAAAATTGGATTTGGACCACAATTCATTTGCCGTACAAATTTCTAGAACAAAAATAAAGGAAAAAAGAAAACGTTTTTCTTCTAGAAAATAAGAAAAATGAATAGTACGCAATAAAATGCCATAATGTTGAAATTGATATTTCGGTACATAGCTATCTATAGCCCATGGAATTCCATGAATTTTTTATCAAAACAATAATCTACCTCAAATAAATAAACAACAAAACATTACGAAACCATCCGGTGTGTCTATATAATATATATATATATATATATATATATATATAATATAAACCATTCTTCGCTTGCTAATGTTGAAATTGATATTTCGGTACATAGCTATCTATAGCCCATGGAATTCCATGAATTTTTTATCAAAACAATAATCTACCTCAAATAAATAAACAACAAAACATTACGAAACCATCCGGTGTGTCTATATAATATATATATATATATATATATATATATATAATATAAACCATGTGCTCAATTTCACTATTTGTAAGTCTCACGGCAAATCTGTTATTATCCAAGAGTTGATCTTTTCATTGTTCATTAAAAAGGAAAAAGAAAAAAAGCTAATTCAGCTTTATCTCATCTATGAATATTAATTTTTTTATAACCGAATATCTTAAACCAAGATCCAAACTAATTTTGAGATCAGATGTTAATTATATAATTTATAATATATATTTTTTTCAAATTTAATATTCAAATTTGAGACAGCTTAGATGATTTGCATCAATTTTTTCGATTAAATTATCCTAGTTTGAGTTACGAATATTAGTTATATAAGAATCATAATAATATTTTTTTAGCTACGAATTCCGGAATTCGATCGAATTAAACACGTGTAACTAAATGTGGAAAAAAAAACTCGTGTAATTAAAAGAATCTAAAATCTATTTTACATCTCAATCGAAAAAAATTGTCATGTTTTAATAATAATCCTCATTTCCTAAAGAAATAAATTAATATATCAATTAAATCTTCACTATTTACTATTTATAAGCTTTTGACCGGTTTTAGATAACATTTATAATATCTATAAATAAAAAATGACTTTTTTATTCTGTGGACGTGGAACCTAATTTTAAATTGACTCGACTTCAAAAAGCCGTGAGATAGTTTAGCAATGAATATTTTGGATTTATGTATATAATTATTCGATTATGTTCATATTTGAGTTTTTTTTATAAAAATATATTCATTCATATTTCATTCCATTCAAATTTTCAAAATCTGTTAAGAATTTGTTTTCATTAAAAAGTCTTATTCAAAAAAAAATTTATTTTCCTTTTAAAAATTATTTCATTCTAATAATTTTAATTTTAAAAATAATATAAGCTCAATTTTTAAATAGAATTACATTAAGTACTCAAATCCTTTGGAAAGGATTTAACTGAAGTCCAGGTGGCCAACAATATCACCTTTATTCTTGTAAAAAAAAATTATATGGGTGTAATTGTTTTCCCATATTAATAAATAACTCTGTTTATTGATGTAAAAAAAATTATGTGAATTAACCTTTTCATTCAGCCGTTGTTTTTGTCAGCAAACATTTGATATTAATATAATTTATATATTGGCCACAATAATGTTATATCTGTATGTTTTATAATTTAATTTTTTATATCAGTATATCAAAAAATAAAACGACTAGTCCAAAATATACAATTATGTGACGCCAATAGGGAAAACAAATATATATAGAGAGAGATTCACTCTTCAATCTTCATGAACAGATTCAAAACAACTCCTCTCTCTCTCTCTCTCGTTCTGAATCTTCAAGAACTCAACACATACATACACACATATATATACACAACGTTCTTCTTTCAATCCATTAATATTTTCCAGATTTGTTTATCGCTTCTTCGGTAAAAGACAAAAAAAGAACCACAGTGTTGCGAAGGACAATGATGATGTTACCAGAAGACTGCGTGGCAAAGATTCTGTCGTTCACAACTCCGGCGGACACAATGTCATCGGCGGCGGTCTCATCGGTTTTCCGGTGTGCTGGAGACTCAGATTTCGTCTGGGAAAATTTTCTACCGTCAGATTACGATCGCATGATTTCTCAATCCATTGGTCATCTGAGTTTCTCTACGAAGAAAGACCTCTATCGACGTCTCTGCGAATCGATTCTCATCGATGATGGCCGAAAGGTTCGATTTTTAATCTGTTCAAAATTTTCAATTTTTCAAAATTTCCCTGTAAAAAGATTCAATCTTTACGCTTAACTTTCTCTGGGTTTGATTCAGATGTTCAAAATCGATAAATTTTCCGGGAAAATATCTTACGTTTTATCCGCGAGAGACCTTTCCATAACTTGGAGTGATCAACCAATGTATTGGTCTTGGAACCGTAGACAAGATTCAAGGTAAATTTCGTTCACCCTTTATTACTATTATTATTATTATTATTATTATTATTTTATAACGTCGTTCATCCTTTATGTTATTTAAAGCTGAAATATTCACAAATATATATAAGTATGATCCAAATCTTATATTATATCAAATTCTGTTGACGTCTATGATGTTTAATTATACAGATTTGCGGAGGCAGTTGAACTTGTAATGACGGATTGGTTAGAGATTCATGGGAAAATCCGAACCGGACTCCTATCGCCGAGCACACGATATGGAGCATATCTTGTAATGAAAGTGACCGCACGAGCCTATGGACTCGACCTAGTTCCGGCCAAGACTTCTATTAGATTGGGGAATGATCAGACACACAAAAATTCCACCTACTTATGTTGCCTGGAGGACAAGAAAGAGCTTATGAAACGATTGATTTTCGCGAACCGAGAAGAGAGGATGGCAGAAGTGGTGGTGGCAGAGGCCGGAGGAGGACAACTGAACGAGCCGAAAGAAAGGAGCGACGGTTGGATGGAGATCGAGTTGGGAGAATTCGAGACCGGAAAAGGAGATCACGACAACGAAGTGGTTATGGGTCTTACGGAGGTTGAAGGGTTTCAATTGAAAGGAGGAATTGTGGTTGAAGGTATTGAAGTGAGGCCTAAACCCTGAAAGGAAGCACTTAGATGAACAAGAAATTGGGTTCAATTGTACTATATTTTAGTTTGGGGCAAAAATGAGAGTAAAGAGAAAAGTGGGTGGTGTGTAGCGTAATTTGTATATTTTCATTCATTCATAAGGTCCAAAGTACATGTCAATTCCTAGGTGGTGGGCATACTATACGGGTTGGGTTGCTGATTATGACAACATGTTTGCATATCGAGAAATACACTTTTTAAAATTTAAATAGTTATAAATTTGAGTTTTAAGCCTTGATAATTGTGATGTTCGTAGATCCACGCCATCCTCTCCATGTAAGAAATATTTTTATTAAACTATTCTTGGAAAGGAGAAATTAATAAAAACCCTAAAATAGAAGTTTGATATGGAAATGTGATTGGAACACGAACAGGGCATTAGGCAGAGATGTAGAGACATGTGTTCATGATGTGGGTGAATGTTGTCATGTAATGAGCCAAACTTGCCTAAACCTCGTTATGTTGTCATTTTAACATCACACGCAGTTCCATGCTTATCCAAATTGCTAATTGAGTATTTAATTCTCTGTGTGATATGACCTCAAATGACGTCATTTTTTCTATCTGATAATTGTAACCGAATCATCATTGCTACCTTCTAACATTTTAATTGAAAAAAAATGCCGGAAGTCATATATTATTTTAGCTCTTATTTAATTTAGATTTTTATAGTATTAAAAATAGATTTTGGTATGATACTATGTCAAGTCTAAGTACAAAAAAAGTAAGGAGTATATTTAATCCCGTTTAATTATTAATAATAATAACGAAAATATTATGTAGAGATGTCAAATGGGATGGGTTAAAAAGTTTGTTAGAAAATTTGATTCCAATGAAAATAGATCGATTCGATACGAAACGAACAAAAATCGATTACGTCGAATCGAAACAATTAGAATTTGAAGATTTGAAACGAATCGATTTGAATCGAAACGAATAGAACTTGAAGATTCGAAACTAAACCAATCGATTCGCGTCGAAACTAATCAAATTTGATTTAATTGATTTTTTTATAAAATATTAATAATATTTATGAGTTAGATAATAAATTAATTATTGTTTAATTTATTAATTGGGTTTGATGGGTTTAATTGGGTTAGCACAAAGAATATATTTTAGTTGGATTTAGGGTTTAAAAAACCCATATGGATTTGGGTTAATTGGATTGGATTATCCAAAATGGCATCTCTAAATATTCGACGAACAAGGTGAAGAATGGTTTCCTGAGACATGTGGGGATCAGTTCAAGTGACTCAGCATTTTACGTAAAATCTATAAAAAAAACCCAATGTCTTAAAAGATCCACCGAGACGCCTCCTATATTCTCGTGTTGCTATAATCAAAATATGTAACAGTGGATGGAACGTACGGAAATGTCCTGAGATTTTTGCAGTTTGATAACACCAACGAATCCAGACGAGACCACGACCGGATAGATGAAGGCACTTCCTCTATCGCAGTGTCGTCCAGACAAAGGTACGTTATGTTGGTGGAAACCTCGGGAAAGGTTTTCAACCGCGAGCACCCGCCCAAATACAAGATCTCGAGACATTCCAAGTCCATATTTGCCGGGAGAGTCGTTAACTTCCGACAGAAATCCATGCGCAACACCTTCAACTTGTTGAGGTTCTTTATCGAAGAAGGGAGCACGACCAGACTTGCACAGTAACTGAGATCCAATCTCTCGAGTTCTTTCGCCTCCGAGAGATCCGGGATTCGCCTCAGGTTCTCGGATCTGCTCAAATCCATCTTCTTTAGATTCTTTAGCGGCTAAAACATATATAACGATACATCAATCAAATCAATACGTGACATTAGAGGGAGATCGGGTTGTGAGTTGCATAACTTTCTAAAAGATGACTTACTTGAATCCCGTCCCACAGCTTTTCGAGCTTGCTTTGCCGTAAGGTGAGCTCGACGAGAAACTCCGGACGAAATCTACGAGGCATACGTCTGATCGGGCAAGCATCCCACTGTAACAATCTTAGCTTGCGTGGAAGGTAATCCAATCCTTTCAGTAAGCGCATCCCGACGTTTTTATTATTGATCGGATTCATAAAGAATCTTAGAAATCGTAGATTGATCATCTTTTCGAACAAACCCCCATCCACGTACAAGTTGTCGATTTTCGACATATCTAAAGATATGCCTAAAACAGTTTCCGTGCCCTGTCCGGAAAAAAAAACCGTATGAGGAGAATGTTTTAACCAGAAAAAGAAAAACATTAGATGATTCAAGTGAAAACTTACTGAATTATCAGTGAGTACATCGCATATCTCGTCTGCATCTACCAAGAATTGACGTTTTCCCGGCTCCAGAATAGATTGTTTCCGGACTATTTCTCTACCTAATTGTTGTACCAAATCGTGCATCGATATTCGCCTATTGATATCCGTGGATATATGTATGAGGGACCTCTCGGAAAGGACTTTAAGCCCGAGATCGACATGTAAGCCGCTATGAGCAAGCAACTGAACCACGCGATCAACGTTCTCACCGTTGAATAAACAAGCAATATGAAGAAATGTAGCCTTATCATCATCGTTCAAGCCATCATAACTGATTCGTAACGACTTCTCGATCTCCCCATCTAGTCTGGTTCTTAGAATAGGGATTGTTTGCATCCATTCACTTTCATCCATTCCTCGCGAAAACGAACCCAAAACCTTCAGCCCTAAGGGAAGATGACCGGCGAGACTTACAACTTCAGCCGCAAGGTTCCGAAATCCACTCGGAGGAGAGTTTTTTCCAAAAGCATATCGGCAGAAGATCTGAAGAGCTTCATCTCTAGACGGAAATTCCACCTCATACATTCGAGTAATCCCGTGCTTTCTCAAGAGTCTTCTATCCCTCGTAGTCACGATAATTCTACTTCCGGAACCAAACCACCGAGCGTGATTCGCCAATGTACTTAGTTGTTCTATGTCATCGACGTCGTCAAGAACGATCAAAGCGTTTTGATTCTCTAGTCTCTCCCTTACCGCACCTAAATGATCGACCCTTACGTTCTCTTGATCTAAAATCTGCGATAGAAGCTTTCTCTGAAAATTCAACTTTGAACAATAACTGTCAAGTTTGTTACTTGCCTTGACATCCTCCATAAAACAACTTCTTTGGAAGTTTCCACGGATTCGGTTGTATAAAGCTCTAGCAATGGTGGTCTTACCGATGCCGGCAGGACCCCATATCCCCACTACGACCGCTTCTTCGGTTCTCGAACATAACAACGAACTCAAGCTTGCGATATGAGCGTCGATTCCGACTATGTTTTCGAAATCTTTTGAAGGCGTGAAGTTCAGTTTGTTCGAAATATCTGCGACAATCTTCTCGATCATGTGAGCTTCATTGTCCCTATCAAGACAAGGATCGTTGCCTTTGTCAAATGGACATAACAATGATATAACTAGACATAAAATTGAAGCATCGAGGTATGAGTTTTGAGAGCGCAAACCATTGATGAGAATCATATCCGGCTATTCCCGCCGCATCGTTCAAGGCACGCCTCCATCGTTCTTTCTCGCTTTTCGTTCTACCGAAGCAAGTTTCCTCAAAGGCTCTTCCAAAGTCGCCGAGCTGTTTCCTCACGTCAGATGGATAAACGTCGTAGAAAATCGTCATCACTGATCGGGCCTCGGCTTTGCGGCACTTCATGATCTCCAACAACTCGTTCAAGCACCAGCTCGAAGACGGGTAGCTCTTGGAGAGCACGACGACGTAGATCCTTGATTCTCTGATGGCCCGTGCAAGCTCTGGTCCGATCGTTTCACTTCTCTCGATCTCGTGATCTTTGAATGTCTCGATCCCGTTACGTTCGAGCTCCCTGAGAAAATGGCTGAGAAACGTTCTGCGGACATCTTTGCCATGGAAGCTCGGGAACACATGGTATTTCTTGTGGCTAGAAGAAGAAGAAGAAGAAGCCATGAGAGAGACGAAAGAGAAAGCTTTTTCTTGTTAGTTACCCCCTCTCCATAAGGACGCGGAAACACCGACTTCCAAGGCTGAAACTTTCAAAGATTCAAAATTTATGACTTCTAAGTCAAAATTATTAAAGCCTGATCCTTGACGATTTGTGCACTATTTTCCTTCGAGAAGGCCCAATTTAAAAAGCCCAATTTTATAATGGCTTACTTGTAATTAACTAAAAAACCGGGCCTTGATTCGGAAATCCAAACGGAGAGTTCATAAAACCCTAAATCCCCTTCTCGCTGCCTCTTTTATAGCCCTATTCTCCTCTCCATCTCGGCGCTCTGTACGAGCAACTCGAGGTCTTTTTTTTTTTTTTTTTGAACAGTTCGGCTTTTTGCTCTTGAGTTATCCCTCGATCTGCGTTTCCAGATTAGGGTTTTCCGAATCTCGGTTTGAATGTCTTTTCCTAGTTTTCATATTTCTTTCGATTTTTCTGGGTTTTTAAGATCTCTGGTTTTTGATGAATTTTAGGGTTAATTCTGGATTTTGAGATCTGGACTTTGGGAAATTTTTATTGGAGTTAGGGGTTTTGCGGCGATGATGATAACTTATTTTCCCAGCTCATTATGAGGCCTGTTGTGGCCAAGGAAAATAATTATGTTCATGTATGTATCTGAGCCCTAAACTCCAAACATTTGTTCTTGAATTACTTTTGAATTTCAAATTCTTTTATATATTCCATTAGTGTATTTGCTGCTGTATCAAATTAATCACTGATATTCAGTTTTTTCTTTTTCTTTTTGATCATAGAATATTGCGTTCCCTGTGATGATCTAAAAAATTCATGCTAATGTATTTCTGACATTTTTTGTGGGGATTCCTAATTTTCTGAGGGAAAAAATTTGACCATTATTTTTTATTTTTATTTTTTTGGATATATGCTAATATATTTTTAAAAACAAATCAAAGTAAGAATATTCCCTGTGATGTTGTTCAACGTTGAACCATGCTAATTCTGAAATATCTCGTGACTGAGTAAATTTTCTATTTCTGAGGGAATATCTTCTTTTTCCTTTTTTTTTAAATGAAACTGTTTCTAATTTTCTCGTGGTATCTAATGGTTTTTATTCATATTGTGTATTAGGTTTTTTGTAGATTTAAGATTTTTAATTGGAATATAATTATATATTTTAATATTTTAAAATTAAAAACAGTTCACAACAGCTAAAATTTCGCAACAAAGGCACTATATTGGATGGAAAAAGCAACTTAAAAAATCGTCTCGTGTATTTATTATTGGGCCTATATAAATCAGCAAACTGGGTCTGGTTCCTCGTTGGGCCTTGGGGGCCCATTAAGCCTTTCATCACTTCAATGAGATTAGGGTTGTTTGGATATTGTTCTGCAGTCTTCAGGAATTTCGGAAATGACAAATCATTGTTATTATTTCTCTAAGGTATAACAAAATGGAATATTATATTGGAACTAATTATTAATCATAAAAAAGCAAAAAAAAAATATATTTTAATGATATATACAAATTTGAGTTAAGAATTTGTAGAAAGCTTGAGAGGATGAGATATTGAGATGAATGAAGCTATATGTATGTTCATGAGAAATTAACATCATCGTCGCCTTTATCCAAGTTTATTTGGGTTCTTCCGTGACACGAAAAAAAAAGGGTACAAAAATCGCATCAATTTTATTTCAATTTTTATAATAGAAAAAACCCACAAAATGCACCAAAGATAAAAACCCTCGAAAACGAAATTCATGAATGAAAAAGGCAGACTAATACCAAACAAAAGAATGTTATAGACATGAAAAATAAAAACCCTAACTAACTAATGTGATCAAGCCCGGAGCATGGTGCAGTATAGCTGCAGCGTCAAGTTGAAGAAAGGATTGCTAAAGGCTCCAAAAATGGTGTTCTGGCAATCTTGATCGATGTCTCGAATGGCACTGCAGCAGTCCTGTCCAAGAACCGGCCGAAGCATTATGAATGACTGCGCGATCTCTTGCACGCACTGCGCGATCTCTACTACTCCGTTCGATAGGCACCTGGCCACGCCGGGTTCAATCTCGGGCACTTGTGGAGATGGCTTTGGAGACTCTGCATTGCTCTTCCCATGGCGATTCTTGTGACTTTTCGGTGACGGATGAGATGTTTTGTGGGTGTGACCGTGATCGTGGCCGTGGTTATGATGGTGCTCGTGGTCATCATCATGGTTGTGATGGTTGGCATGGTCATGGGTGTGATGGTGCTCGTGCTCGTGGTCATGGGCATGGTCATCATCATGGTTGTGATGGTGCTCGTGGTCATGGTCATCATCATGGTTGTGATGGTGGTCATGGTCATGGTTATGGTGGTGCTCATTTTCATGGGCATGGTTGTGATGGTGTTCGTCGTCATGGTCGTGGCCTTCGCTTGAGAGGGGAGGTGGGCTACGAGGTTGTCTGTTTGGAGTCCAATGTTGATGTTCGGTGGCATAGACTTGTTGAACAATAACAGATAACAGGAGAAGAACTGCTACACCAGAGATCTTCATATTGTGTGGCTTTTTTTTTTTTTTTTTGCGTGTGAAGGAAAACAATGAGACTTTAGGGTTAGAAGTTACGTTCTAGGGTTCGGTGTTATATATAGTGTAATTAATTAGAAGAGTTTGATTAGGGTTTTAAATCATTTTTTGATTATCATCGCGTCGTTTTTTTTAATATATGTATCCGAATCTGAATGTGATAATAATTGGAAAACGAGTTGATAACTCTTTGATCATATTTTTTTCTCTCTCAAAGTTATCAGTTTGGTGAAGTGTTTGATGGCGTCTCTAAAAGCCGTCTTTACATTTTATTATTTTAAAATCCCGAAAAATAATAAAAGATAATAACGAGAACGCTAGTAAACATCTATTTTTTTTAAAAAATGTTTGTAATTAAAACTTTTATACGAATGTATTACTTCTCTTTTATAAGAATATAAAAATATAACTTTTGTTATTTTATCATTTTCGAATCTAAATCTTCTAAGGATTATCATCGTCATTTTTTAATGTATATGAATTCGATAAATGCAAAAGATTCTCTTTAATTAGAAAATGAGTTGATAACTCTTTGATCAGAGTTATTATCAGTTTGGTTAAGTGTTTGATGGCGTCTCTAACGCTTTCTTTGCATTTTAAAGTTCGTACAAACAATAAATAATAATGATAAATAAAACATTAAATAGTAATAATAATTATTATTATAAAAATAATGATAAGATAAGTCTGTTTGACGTCATAGATTTTTTGTGGTGGTTAAACGTCATTTTTACGATTTTATCAAATATGTACATAGTTGTATAGTGTTCTAAATAATATACATTAACCAGAAGTTAAACTTATTAATTAACTTTGAGAAAAAATTGCAATTTCATAGAGTTTGTACTCCAATAACGCATAGATTTTATGTATTTTGTATTCTCTCCATTTCACAATATTTGACGTTTAAGTAAAAATGAATAAATTTTAATAGATTATTAATGATAATATCAAATTTTGTATTATTAGAGGATATATATGATTTGTTTTTTAAATGTGAAAAAAACTAAAATAAGTGAATCGTATTTATCTAAAACAAACGTAAAGTTGGAGTTTACAAAGAGACGTAGTTGGTGAAGCTTGGGCCGAGCCCACGTGGCAGAATATTCTCACATGCACAATAGTCCACAAACACGCCACTCTATTATGTATAATGTGTCTAAGATCGAAGAATCGAAATGCTTATCGAATAATAATTCAATATTCAATAATATTGCAATTATACGATTAGAAGCGCCTTAGTGTTTTCAGTACGTATAGATATTGTAAAATGGATAAATATTTCAATTTAAATATATAAAACCCTATTTGAAACAAATAGAACGTTATATAATTACATTTAAATATATAAAATGATATTTTGGAGAAAAAAAGAACAAACTAGGAAAGAAAAAACAAGGGAGCAACGTTGCTGTTCGTCGTTTACTTTACTTTTATTCCTTGTTGTCTTTGCACACCAATCTGTCTATTCACTCGACAAACCCTCGAATCCTACGTTCATGTCCTGTCTTCAGATTATGTCTTACTCTTTTTGAATCTCTCTCTCCCTGTGGTGATGTCTCTGGGTCGATCGGAATTCGCCGACGGCGTCGCGGCACGGAGTCTCAGCGAGATTTCGGAGGTCGACGCTGTCCGAATCGGCGTCGATCTCGTGTCGGCCGCGAGACGATTCGTCGCGTTCTTGAGGTCTGTTGGAGACTGTCAATGGCTTCATCACCGACCCGCCATTGCCGAAGCTGTCAGAAGGTGAAAGAAAGCTTTCGTCTTTTGATCGGACGGTTGGGGTTTCTTGTGTTCTTCCCCTGTTTGATCGGACGGTGCAGATTGAGTTTTACCATACTTTTCTTGCCAAGATAACTCTGCGCCGTTGAAATTTCTCAACTTTTTCGTGGATTTTGACAGAAAATGGTCAAACTTGTGTGATTCTATAGCTTTGTTGCTTATCTCTCTTTGACTAGTCATCCAAATTAGAGACTGTTCTTAGATTTCTTTTTTGTCGTTTCTTTTATAAGCATGTTTGTGGGGGGATGGTATTTGGTATTTGCCTTTCTGATCATGTAATTTCCTTACTCGGTTTCAGTTAATGTCAAACTTTAATCTGGACATAACAGTTACATCGACATTAATGTCCGAATCAAACCATTGTTGTTTTGTAGGTACGATGAGCTGTGGATGCCGTTGATTTCTGATCTAACGGTTGGTTTGAAACCTCCGATGATTCTTCCTCCTCTTGATGTTGAATGGGTTTGGCTCTGTCACACCTTAAACCCTGTAAGCTCCGATTTCTTCTCTGTTTGGTTTGTCTGAAACTCCCAAGAAAGTTCGAGAAAATCCCAGCGAAGATTACCAAGGAGAGTTTGCTTGTACTTATCCTTGCATTGCTTCACAATCTTTTGTTATATGAGATTATCCAAAGCTTGTAGTTACATAACTGCAAGATCATTGGAAAAAGAATCTGATCTTGATGCCACCCTGATTCTGTTCGTTTCATTTTCATTGGAAATATACCGGAGTTAGAGCTTGAAGCGTGGAACTTTAAATCTCCTGAAGTCATATTCATGATGAATCTGTATTTCAGGTGAGTTACAGGCAATACTGTCAAAACAGATTCTCGAAACTTATAGGAAAACCGATGATTTACAATGAGGAAAACGAGGATTATGCGGTTTTACAGTGCAAGAAAATATGGGATAAAAGATACCCGGATGAGAACTTCACGAACGAAACCGATCAAGATGCCCCTGAACCCACCATTTCCATGGATGAGGAAATCATTGCTCTGGTTGAGAAGCAGAGGTTTCTGTGTGAGAAGTTCTGTGCACCATACATGTCGGAGGTCGTGTATTTGATCGCTGCTCGGTTGAGATACAAAGGATTCTTGCTGATACTGCAGAAATTCGGGGACAAGATTTCCCGTCTCGTTCCAGCTTCTGATATACTGCTTATGTGGCTCACACATCAGGTCTATATACATGAGTTTGTTTAACATCATCGATATATCTTTACTTCATCGTTGGAATGAACAACAACTAAGACATGTTCTTTGAGTTTAAAGGGTTGGTTTTGAACTAATGCCTTATCAAATCGAGTTAAAAAGATAGAAACTGGGTCGGTCTGTCCAGGTTTGGGATATCGAACTGATGATTGCATAGGTGGATTCAGTTCAAATGTGTATCATGCTGCTATAAGATGAATCAATTCTCTTCGTTTTTTTGGATTTTTTCATGTACCATGATTCGGGGAATTTATACGTGCTTGTATTGATAGAGCTACCCGACGGTATATGCAGAGGATGTTCACGATATGTGGGAAGATATGGAAAAGGTGATCGGGGTTGGAGAATCTGTAGAGAAGACGGATTTGGAGACAACGAAAGAACTATGGGATAGAAACTTCAATCAACCGTATGAGAAGGCTGGTGGCGAATTGGACGTAATACGGAACGAGCCTCCTTTCTCCGAACCCCCGTTTTATTGGCCTGTCTCCGATATAGATGTCAACACCGTGTATAAGTCCGTTCTACCGAGATTCTTCTTGGAGGTAAGTACTTTTAATTTAGAGAGTTAAAACCCTTTTAATACGTTTATCTAATGATAAATCCTTAACAATTTATTGCATGTGTTTTTGGAATTTAGAGATATGTTGAGCATAAGTCTATCATCTAACCATCGGCTCTCTGTTGAAATGCAGCTCTGTATCTTTATAAGGCTTAACCCGAAAGCGGAATCATCTGAAATTAACCCGAAAACACGTAGTTTCCTGCGTCTGAGGTTGCCTAGATGTCACCGGAAGCTGAGGCTCGATAAAAAAATTTCCGATTTTGCCCCCGATACCACGTGGCAGAAAGCCTGGCACCTTTACTGTGAGTTTGGGACTCGAGGGGTAGTTCTGGAATTCCGGTGTCGCCGCCGCCGAAGGAGCATCTGCTTCAGAACCAGCAGACATATGGAGACGACAGGGTTTGCATGGAACGATTTGCTCAGAGCTCATTCCCTCTCTTTGGGAAGGTTTCTTGGTAAACAAGTTAGGGTCTTTGCCTCGGTTACACCCCCGGTTCAAGCCCCATACCTGTTAAAATGTGTACCGGATCGGGTTACTGATGATTCGGGCATTGTGATTTCTGATTCGGTTCAAAGTACGAACAATTTCCGGCCTCAGGAAGGACGATGGCTTACACGAACTGTTTTAGACCACTCAGGGAGGGAATGCTTCGTTGTCCGTATCCGGTAAAATTTCCATCTTTCTTGTTCCTTAAACCGGTTTTTGGTTAACTGGTGAACCGGATACTTAACCGCTGGTTTGGTTTACTTTGGTTTTAGGGTAGGGAGAGGAGTTTTCAAACGTGGATGCGAAGTTCCATCCCCTGTTAAATTGGAGGAACGTGTAACAGAGATACGAGAAGGTTCTTGGTCTTCTTTAGAGGGTTCGACCGGTAAAGCTCCCGGTACGTTCGTATACATACTGTTGGTTTTGTTTCTTATACCGGTTTGAACCGATCGGTATAGCTAATTTCAAGACTAGTACAGCGAAGGTTGTCGGGACGGTGACGCCTAAAGAACCTCCTGAAGATTGGAAATCGGCATGGGAGTTTTCAACCGGAGATGATTTGTTGATTCGATTGGACTCATCGGGATCAATCTCAGAACTCGGATTACGTTCGAGAAACGAGACAAGCCCTGGTTCATCAGTATGCTTAAAGCTGCTTTTGTATCGGTTATCTCACGAACATAACCGATTCCGTTTCTTAACCGGTTTTGACATTTCATGTCTGTTTTGTCTTGTAGGTTAGGTTATTACCGGGAAGGAGAATGCAATACCGAGTGAACAAAACCGAACCGAACCAAGAACAGAACCGAACCGATGAAGACGATGAGAGCTTCGTCACGGTCGTTAGGTCAACGGAAGAAAACCAAACCGGAA